TTTTGTATATGGTGAGCCTTCTGTTTCGTTTCATTACAATGAAGTAACATCGTAATAATAGGGTTATTGTGAGCCGAGTACCTGCAGGAACTTATGTAAAGGATTTTCAGGAGCTAACATTCATGTGCCTTCCTACCTATAGTTAGTTTAAATTACAAGTAGCTCATTAGACAGAGGTAGTGCTTGGATTCTGCACAATAAGATACGTTTGCGAAAATAATACTATAACAGGGATTTATTTTACGAAACGAGTTAAATTATTTCGACTGCACGGTTGGCGCGATGGCTGGACAACTGGCTGAAGTGTTACGTGTCGCGGTTTCGATTCCCACACGCAACAACTCTTTGTGTGATCCACATATTGTAGATCGAATCTGGGTGTGACGTGTATGTGAAATTAATTTGTTTGTAAATGCATCAACGACATAGGAGAAAATCCTACGGTAAACGTTAAAAAAAATACACCATAGTAGGTATTATATACTGTAGAAGTGTAATAAATTTCTTTTGAAATTTATAGTTTAGAAGTTTGGTAGTTTAAAGACATAATTATGTTATATGTATGTATAAATTAAAGAAAAATACTCATGAGTCAATAATATGCTTTGCAAAAAACTTCACAGTGCAAGCACAGCGTAAAAATTCCACAAACAGAGCTCTCGATAAATAAATCGTCCCCAGATATCGATTACGACAGATAACTGTCCAATTTCGAGCCGACCATTACTCATGAGGACACTGATTGACAAATGAGGTCCTGACGCGAGCCCCGCCACGCCTCCAACCGCCACTGTTTACGCGCGAATCCAGGATCAAGTGATTAATTTTATATTGGTTTTTGTACACTTTGACATTTGCATGTCGAAGCTGGAATTTCTAAAACGAAATTATTGTTACGTGCCTGACGTCACGTTCCTGACTATGCGGGCTTGGGTAACGGGATTGGATGAAATGAAACACTAATACCGGTTTTCAGACTTTCTATTGCACTTAAGTTACAGCGTCCACGGAGTTAAGTTATCGGCGTTCCTCTCCAGCAGAGCCCGGCCGACTGACACAACTTTGCCGTTCACGCTGGCTTAACTCACTTAACTGACTGCACTTCACTATTTCACTCACTTTTCTTCTTTTTCACTTCTTCCTTTTCTTCCGAATCGCTTTAGACTTAGAACACAACTGCCAGCGGTGAGCCGCAGTTCCGCTTATATACCCCCGGTCAGGTTCTAGAACATTCAATTTCGTTATTCTTTTTGATCGTCATGCCTCCAGAACCTTCCAATAATTTCGTTATTCATTTTTATTTATTCTCCTTCTCGCTCCTTAATTTTTCATCACTTTCACTCAAATATTCCAGAAAGTTCGACAAAACTTCCATCAACTAAAAAACTTCATGTTTACGGCGGGACTCGAACTCGGGGTCTCTGTGGTGTAATCCACACGCCTTACCGATTACACCAACTCGTGTTGACAATTCACGACGAAATTTACAATGTCTAGGCAACGTTTGACAACCATCCATTGACGTCATGATGTCAAAGAGTTTTCTGTCACACTGCCCCCCTCTTAGATTCGCTCGTCCCGAGCATCGTTGCTGCCGTAATACCTCGCCAACCTGTCTATATGGACAACTTTCAAAGGGCTCCTTGAAGACTTCCGAATTCTGTAAGTAATGTCATTGATCTTCGTGACTATCTCGTAAGGACCTTCCCAACTCGGTTGCAGCTTTGGAGATTTTCCCTTCCTTCTGACTGGATTATGAAGCCAGACCAATGACCCCTCTTCAAACCCAACAGAATTGGCTCGTCGATCATAGCGCGTCTTTGCGCGATCACTAGCTTGAAGACCGGCCTCCCTGATCTGCTCATAAATGTCCAACATTTTTGCCCTTAACTCGCTTATGTAATCGCTAAACTCGGTGCGAGAATCACCAGGTGGACAGCCCGATACAAGATCTGCCGGTAATCTCAATTCCCTTCCAAAATTTGCAAATGCAGGCGTCTTTGCGGTACTTTCATGTACAGCAGTCCGATAGGCAAGCAAGAAGAGAGGTATGTAAGTGTCCCAATCTCTCTGATGGCTGTCAACCACCTTTGCTAAGTGTCGCTCCAATGTTTGGTTGAAGCGTTCGACCATTCCATCTGACTGTGGATGATAAGGGGTCGTTCGAGTCTTATGGATTCCCAAAAGTTTACAAGTTTCCTGGAAAACTTGGGATTCAAAGTTCCGTCCTTGATCACTGTGCATCTCCAAGGGCACTCCGAATCGGGTGAATACCTCGTTTACCAACTTCGTCGCTACAGTTACTGCCTCTTGATTCGGTATAGCAAAGACCTCCGGCCATTTTGTAAAATAATCCATAACCACTAAAACGTAGCGATTGCCCGAATCAGTGATTGGAAATGGTCCAGCGATGTCTAAGGCTATTCTCTCCCAAGGCATACCAACATTGTAGATTTTCATCGCCCCCCTGCTCCTTGTTTGTGGACCCTTGACAGCTGCACAACTAGTGCATTTCCGGCACCAATCTTCGACGTCATATTTGCAATGCAACCAATAAAACCTCTCCTTGATCTTCACCAAAGTCCTCCTAATCCCCAAATGTCCTCCAGAAGATCCATCATGGAACGCTTTTAATACATCCCTTATTTTTGAACGAGGTACCACCAATTGCAAATGCTCGTCCTTGCCGTTTGTTGATTCCCATTTTCTGCACAGAAGTCCATTATGCAGCGTAAGGCTTTTCCACTGTGCCCATAAACCTTTCGTTACTGCGCTATATTGGGCGACGTCACTCCAACTTGGCTTGTTACCACTTCGTAGCCACTCCAGTATTGGTTTGATATCTGCATCTCTTTCCTGTTCTAATTTCATTGCATCATCTCCCCATGCCTCGTCAACAGTATCAGTCCTTATCACCTTAAGAAAAGCAATTTACTTCTTGGCACAATGCTTGCAATCCTCCACGCATGGGCGTCTCGATAATGCATCTGCGTTGCCATGAATTCTTCCGCCGCGATGTTCGATTTCAAAGTCAAATTCCTGAAGTTGTTCCAACCATCTGGCTACTTGGCCTTCGGGATCCTTAAACTGAAGCAGCCATTTCAAAGCAGCGTGATCAGTTCTGATCAAAAATTTCCGTCCCAGTAAATACTTCTTGAAATGGTGCAGGGTTTTGACTACGGCCAGTAATTCCCTCCTGGTCACGCAATAATTCCTCTCCGGCTTCGATAATGACTTGCTGAAGTAAGCAATAACCTTCTCCTGCTCACCATCGCGTTGTGAAAGGACACCTCCTATTCCAATATTGCTGGCATCCGTATCAACTACGAATATTCCTTTCGCGCTGGGGTATCCGAGAATTGGTGTGTTACAAAGCCGTTCTTTTAGGTAAAGGCACGTTTCTCCTCTGTCAATCGATGCAAAGGCTTGGCAATGTCCGAGAATCCTTTCACAAACCGCCGATAATACGAGCACAATCCAAGAAATGCCCGAACTTGCGTTTTGTCTTTAGGTGTTGGCCATTCCTTAACAGCGACAGTCTTGGCTGGATCAGTCTCAATTCCTCTCTCAGAAATAACATGTCCTAGATAATTCACTTCGCGCTTGAAGAAAGAGCATTTCTTTGGACTCAACTTTAAATTTGCTCCACGCAGCTTGTCGAGTACCTTTTCCAATTTCCTTAGATGATCGTCAAAATCCCGTCCAACAATGATGATGTCATCGAGGTAAACTAGGCAGGTTTCGCCCAGCAGTCCCACCAGCACCTGTTCCATCAAACGCTCAAAGGTTGCCGGTGCATTGCATAATCCAAATGGCATCACCTTAAATTGCCAGAGTCCCTTCCCAGTTGAGAATGCGGTCTTTTCCTTGTCCTTGGGATCCAAATCCACCTGCCAATAGCCGCTTTTCAGATCGAGCGTTGAAAACCATTTCATGCCACTCAGTGTGTCAAGTGTGTCATCGATTCTTGGTAACGGGTAGCTATCCTTCTTGGTTACATCATTCAATCGTCGATAGTCTACACAAAACCTCGTTGAACCATCTTTCTTCTTGACAAGCACGACAGGTGAACACCAAGGGCTAGAAGAGGGCTCTATCACGTCATTTTTCCTCATATCGTCAATCATTTCTTCAACCTCTTTCTCACGAGCGAATGGTATACGTCTGGGCCTTTGACGAATTGGCATTGTATCACCTGTGTTTATTTTATGCTTCACCAAACCAGTTCGGCCAATATCACCATCGCTTCTTGAAAACACATCAGAGAATCGAAGAAGTAAATTTCTAGCTTTCATAGTCTCCACTTTTGTCAGACTTTTGTTTTCGTCTAAGATTTTCGTTACAAAGTCTATTCCCGTACTGTCCTTTTTCACAACATTTTCCGAGCATTTTCTTATCCAGGCCACTTCTTCCAATACGCCCACAGGCTCTCCTTCTTCAATCGTAATTTCTGAATCACTGAAGTTGAATACCGGAATGCGGTTAACATCAGATGACCCCACGACAGTTCTTGCCGGTAGCCATGAGTTTACGTGTTCCGATTTATCAATCACAGCGCACCTTCGAGGTAAACTTCCTTCCCTCCTCCTAGGTAATGCGATTGGTACGAGAGTCTGTGATTTTGGTGCAAGAACAGTTCTTCTTAAACAGCAAACTTTTCCCAGGGTTCCACCCTTCATCGGAATTTCCTCAGTTCCACATAGTAATACTCCAGATTTTAAGTTGATGTTACACTGGTGCCCTTGCAGGAAGTCAAGTCCCAGGATGCAGTCATCCAGAATTTTGGCCACAATAACCTCATGTCGATAAACACGTTCCCCAATTTTGATTGTTACATGCAGTTTTCCACTTATCGGTATGCACTGGCCGGTAGCTGATTTCATTTGTAGGCCAACAATTGGTTTAAGGTGTTTCCTGATGTTGTGCTCGAGCAGCCGAACATTTATCACCGTCCTTGAAGCTCCAGTATCTAATATTAGCTGACTGTTTTTCCCATTTACTTGACCGTCTATCACCAGAGTATTTCCATCGTTGGTTTGCTTGATGTAGATTGTTGGGGTTGTTCCACTACCAGCCGGCGCCCACCCCGCAGCCCTGGCTGGGTTTAAGTTTCCCTGCTGGTCAGAAGTTGAGACCGCCGCGTCCTTGCGGTTCATCTTCTTCGGGCAGTCGCTCCGTATGTGCCCACGCTCTCCACATCCATAGCACATGAAGTTCCGACGGCGTGGAGGTACCTGCTCCGTTGTCGTCATTTCCCGCAGACGTAAGGTACGGGAGTTGCTACGCACGGCTTCCACTTCCAATGCATGGGCCAGAGCTTCTTTCATGATCTTGTGATGGCCCAGATGAACAGCAGCTCGTACTTCTGGGTCCCGAATACCGTCAATGAACGCTTGGAGAAGCGTGCCTTCAATCATTGACGGAGTCGACCGGAAAGCTCGACGTACAAGTTTCTCGATTTCCACGGACCATTGCTGTAGGCTCTCATTAGCACGCTGAGTACGCTCTTTTAATTGCGCTCTATACACGTGCTCGAGGTGGCTGTCTCCAAAACGTGCTTCAAGTGCGTCGAGGAGGGCACTAAAGCTGAGATCCCCACTTGCGCCGATAGCTTCCAGCACTGAGAGCGCTTGATCACGGAGGGCCAGGGTAAGGGCTGACTGTGCTTCCTTCTGAGTCCAACCATAGGCCTCCGTAAGTGTCTCAAACTGTAGCTTGAACGCAGTCCAGGATGTTGTTCCGTCGTAATGGGGAATCTTGAGCCCTTTCGTTGCGCTTAAGGCCGCATTTGGGGCGTCAAAAACGGCTGCAAGACGGCTTCGGCTCTTCAAAGGGCTTGGGTTTGTCACTTCCTGCTTGATTTTGGAGATCTCTTCTTCCAGTCTCTCCTCTATCGCCATGACGCGAAGTTTCAACTTGCCTAACCCTTCCTCCACTTCTTGTACCCGTTCGACAGCCTTTTGCAGTCCCTTCGTGAAATCCCTGTGCATCTCTTCCAAGCGACGCGCTTGCTCCTCTTGGCGGCGAGCTTGATCCTCTTGGCGACGAGCTTGATCTTCTTTCAGCTCCCGAAGCTGTTCTGCCTGACAGCGTGCTTGCTCTTCTTGGCGGCGCGCTTGCTCTTCTTGGCGGCGCGCTTGCTCTTCTTTCAGCTCCCGCAGCTGTTCTGCCTGACAGCGCGCTTGCTCTTCTTGGCGGCGCGCTTGCTCTTCTTGGCGGCGCGCTTGCTCTTCTTGGCGGCGCGCTTGCTCTGCCATCATTTGCTGCAGCTGTAGCAGAAGATCCACCTGCACAGGCTTGGCTTCTGCATCGCTGGTTTGAGCTGCAGCACCCTCTTCCCTCACACGCTGCGCTTCTGACATAGCACGGGTACTCACTCCTCTTACGTCCTGCGGTACTAGCGGCATTTTTCTCCAATCCCACTTCTGACACCAAATGTTACGTGCCTGACGTCACGTTCCTGACTATGCGGGCTTGGGTAACGGGATTGGATGAAATGAAATACTAATACCGGTTTTCAGACTTTCTATTGCACTTAAGTTACAGCGTCCACGGCGTTCGGCGTTCCTCTCCAGCAGAGCCCGGCCGACTGACACAACTTTGCCGTTCACGCTGGCTTAACTCACTTAACTGACTGCACTTCACTATTTCACTGCACTTCACTATTTCACTCACTTTTCTTCTTTTTCACTTCTTCCTTTTCTTCCGAATCGCTTTAGACTTAGAACACAACTGCCAGCGGTGAGCCGCAGTTCCGCTTATATACCCCCGGTCAGGTTCTAGAACATTCAATTTCGTTATTCTTTTTGATCGTCATGCCTCCAGAACCTTCCAATAATTTCGTTATTCATTTTTATTTATTCTCCTTCTCGCTCCTTAATTTTTCATCACTTTCACTCAAATATTCCAGAAAGTTCGACAAAACTTCCATCAACTAAAAAACTTCATGTTTACGGCGGGACTCGAACTCGGGGTCTCTGTGGTGTAATCCACACGCCTTACCGATTACACCAACTCGTGTTGACAATTCACGACGAAATTTACAATCTCTAGGCAACGTTTGACAACCATCCATTGACGTCATGATGTCAAAGAGTTTTCTGTCACATTATTATGACTAAGTAAGGCCGGATCAAAATTAAATGTGAAGCCAGATTCAAAAGTTTTGTTTTTAAATAAAATATTTGTTACTACTGATTTCCTAGAATGTTTGATGGTTTACAATTTGATATACCTAAACATTTAGCAGCATATAAAATCCAGTACCTAACAAAAGCTACTTAATCCAAAAACAAGTTTTAAAGTGAAATAACAAGAGGATTTCAGTTAAAGCGGACTATTCCGAACCTTTGTAGAAAAACTAACAAAAAGTGCACACAGACAGACGGACAGGCTCAAACTCAATTAAAATCCTAACTCGTCTGAACGTTTCGCTTTGGGAAAAGGAAAAATCGTACGTCCATAGCTAGACAGTTAGTCTATCCACACTAGGACAACAAAGAAAAATAATGAGGTTGTAAATCACTGACTAATTTACACAAATAGTGCATGTAACGATGCAATGGTATCGGACTTGGTCTGGCGAGCATCCAACCTAAGATATATGGACGTAGGTAATCGAGGGGGCACCCAGTTGGCTGGCCTAGCGTTTAGTCACCCGCTCAGATTAGCCAGATTTATTGACTACTCATTGGATTATTGATATTTAGGTAATTGTTGCTTTCATCTCTTGCTGTTTTTGTTGTGTAGTGTGATCAAAGTCTAGTGTGATTTATGCTTTTATGGAAGCTTGAATGTGTGTAAAAACATCATCTACATTTATGGTAGTTCTGGTTAGATGTTCTAGTTTGTTATTAATTTGATAAAACAAGTAGGCTTGCTCCTCTTGGCGGCGAGCTTGATCCTCTTGGCGACGAGCTTGATCTTCTTTCAGCTCCCGAAGCTGTTCTGCCTGACAGCGTGCTTGCTCTTCTTGGCGGCGCGCTTGCTCTTCTTGGCGGCGCGCTTGCTCTTCTTTCAGCTCCCGCAGCTGTTCTGCCTGACAGCGCGCTTGCTCTTCTTGGCGGCGCGCTTGCTCTTCTTGGCGGCGCGCTTGCTCTTCTTGGCGGCGCGCTTGCTCTGCCATCATTTGCTGCAGCTGTAGCAGAAGATCCACCTGCACAGGCTTGGCTTCTGCATCGCTGGTTTGAGCTGCAGCACCCTCTTCCCTCACACGCTGCGCTTCTGACATAGCACGGGTACTCACTCCTCTTACGTCCTGCGGTACTAGCGGCATTTTTCTCCAATCCCACTTCTGACACCAAATGTTACGTGCCTGACGTCACGTTCCTGACTATGCGGGCTTGGGTAACGGGATTGGATGAAATGAAATACTAATACCGGTTTTCAGACTTTCTATTGCACTTAAGTTACAGCGTCCACGGCGTTCGGCGTTCCTCTCCAGCAGAGCCCGGCCGACTGACACAACTTTGCCGTTCACGCTGGCTTAACTCACTTAACTGACTGCACTTCACTATTTCACTGCACTTCACTATTTCACTCACTTTTCTTCTTTTTCACTTCTTCCTTTTCTTCCGAATCGCTTTAGACTTAGAACACAACTGCCAGCGGTGAGCCGCAGTTCCGCTTATATACCCCCGGTCAGGTTCTAGAACATTCAATTTCGTTATTCTTTTTGATCGTCATGCCTCCAGAACCTTCCAATAATTTCGTTATTCATTTTTATTTATTCTCCTTCTCGCTCCTTAATTTTTCATCACTTTCACTCAAATATTCCAGAAAGTTCGACAAAACTTCCATCAACTAAAAAACTTCATGTTTACGGCGGGACTCGAACTCGGGGTCTCTGTGGTGTAATCCACACGCCTTACCGATTACACCAACTCGTGTTGACAATTCACGACGAAATTTACAATCTCTAGGCAACGTTTGACAACCATCCATTGACGTCATGATGTCAAAGAGTTTTCTGTCACATTATTATGACTAAGTAAGGCCGGATCAAAATTAAATGTGAAGCCAGATTCAAAAGTTTTGTTTTTAAATAAAATATTTGTTACTACTGATTTCCTAGAATGTTTGATGGTTTACAATTTGATATACCTAAACATTTAGCAGCATATAAAATCCAGTACCTAACAAAAGCTACTTAATCCAAAAACAAGTTTTAAAGTGAAATAACAAGAGGATTTCAGTTAAAGCGGACTATTCCGAACCTTTGTAGAAAAACTAACAAAAAGTGCACACAGACAGACGGACAGGCTCAAACTCAATTAAAATCCTAACTCGTCTGAACGTTTCGCTTTGGGAAAAGGAAAAATCGTACGTCCATAGCTAGACAGTTAGTCTATCCACACTAGGACAACAAAGAAAAATAATGAGGTTGTAAATCACTGACTAATTTACACAAATAGTGCATGTAACGATGCAATGGTATCGGACTTGGTCTGGCGAGCATCCAACCTAAGATATATGGACGTAGGTAATCGAGGGGGCACCCAGTTGGCTGGCCTAGCGTTTAGTCACCCGCTCAGATTAGCCAGATTTATTGACTACTCATTGGATTATTGATATTTAGGTAATTGTTGCTTTCATCTCTTGCTGTTTTTGTTGTGTAGTGTGATCAAAGTCTAGTGTGATTTATGCTTTTATGGAAGCTTGAATGTGTGTAAAAACATCATCTACATTTATGGTAGTTCTGGTTAGATGTTCTAGTTTGTTATTAATTTGATAAAACAAGTAGGTGCAGAGTATCCTACTCAATCTTGTCTTACCCTCAGTGATTGAAACACTTGGCACGAGTATGCAACTTCACTAACTTACTTGTAGACATAAATGGCACTCTTTGGACTGCTCAAATGAGTCAGATTATCGTGAGCTTACAATAAATACTTTGACTTTCTCTGGCAGAATACTAATGAAACAGAGAAAATTGAAGTACACAGACTCTAATAAATAAATAAATAGTTTAAATAAGTAGTAGTAATTTTAATAGTATTAGACAGCTAAGATATTTATAAACAAGACCTAGGTCATCAACATCCATCATCCACTGGACAATGTGAACAGTTGAAAGCAGGAACAACGGTAACAAGCTTTGTATTTAATGTTCGAAACGGTTTTATTTGCGAGAATTTAAATTGCAAATGGCAGCGTTGTGGGAACGAACGCATTGTGCGTTGCGTCGCCTTCGACGAGAAGAAAAAGGATCACGGCCAACAAGACCGACAGACCGACATATTGTTATTTTGCAGGAGGAAACTGTTACGATAATGGACTGGACATGCAATAACTAAAGATGCGAAACAAATAAATTGTTTACTGAACTGCTGGTGCTTATGTAGAGGCAAATTTTGCTTCGAGTCTAAAGGTTTCTCTGTTAAAATTTTAATTATCTCGTTAAATTTGTTTTTAACTAAAAATGATCGATATCGAAGAAAGCTCTACTAGTTTCGAATCACAAAGGGGTTCTTCCTCATGAGCAGCGTGTGCGGACGCGGCGACGTCGCGCAGCCTACTCACGTCACGTAATCTCTCAATATATACACGTGAGTAACCCGCGATTTTTAGTTAATTTCGTATGTCTCCCGATAGTTATTATAAATTTGTTTTAGCAATTTTTATGTCTTTCAACGATATTGCTGGCTGGTTACAGCTGGTTCCCAGGGTATCAACCTCTCTCATATTTTGTCCATTATGAAAAGCAAAGGCTCATTGAAATCAAAACGCTTCTTGTATCTAAGAGGAAAAATGAAATGTTTTGTAATGGTGAAACAGTTCAGCATACAATGTATGAGTCGAGGAAACATGTTCGTGGACATATTGGCAGTCTTCGGTAGTCTTTGAGGATGAATAAAACATGGAGCTATTGAACAAGTTTGTGACAAAACGGGAAGGCGATGTGGTGTAGTGGGATCGTGGCATATGTCAGTTTTTTAAATTTCCTTTTTATTTTTCGATACAGGTATCAGAGTGACACCATGGTCTCATCTGGTTTTGCCATGTGAGTGAGGTTATTCAATCTCCAATTCTCCTTAATCCTCAGATATCTTTCGCCCAAAATCCAGCAACGCATTTGGATCTCCTCGTTATTGTCAGTGTCCAGGTACTGCCGATTGGTTATTCTCACATCTAGTGGGTTGTATGTAGCCATTCCAATTTATCTTTTGTTCCTTCACATGTTATACTGAACGTTATCTTACCGTCATTCGTTTGCATTTACCTAATAAACGACCCCATCTTACATTTATCTATGTTGACTACTAAGGAATTCGTGGTTGAGGCCGTGACAGTAGTAGGTAAAATATTAACATCACTTTGGATATCATTCTGTTACTATTAACTTGAATGACTTCTACATCTATTCTTTTACTATTTGACTTTCTTATCACCGTCTTCTTTTCCATTT